CAGGCTGCATCTAATACCCATTTCAATGGATCTCTTGACGCTTCGTGCTAGCAAGATTACTGCCTCGCGCTGAGAACTTCTGGAGCAGTGCTACACCCTTTTTCACTTGTGCCTTTCAGTTAAGCAGAAGCCGCTGAACAACAAGAACAAACCGAATCCGGAAAATTTAGGCGAAAGCATAGATCCTGTGCATCAATCCGTGAAATAACACGTGCGCATTTTGAACTGAAATACGGCATTTGGTCAAGCGGAAGGTTAAGCGAGGTTTTTGTTTGCGAGGATGAGAAGGACGGTAGTGTTTGTGGAGATTTGGTGAGAATGTCACTCAAGTTTAATAGCCGTTTGCTTTTTGACACTGTTGCAGTGCATATGAATGTTGAAATCCTACGGAGCTTTTCATAAGCTACGAAAATGAAGAATCGAAAAGTTGTGGTAATAGTGATATTCATCTGATATAGGATTTATGAAAACATGAATGTTTTAGCCATTCTCTTCACCGCTGTGTACGAGTACAATTGAACGCTTCAATACACGTCGACGTAAAATGATCCCTCCAACCTTGGAAAAATAGGGAGCCTGTAGCGGACTAGGACCTAACCAGCGTGTTCGGATAACTTAACAAGCAAAAGTAACCAATGCAAAATCACAAAAATCACAATAGGAAAGGAATGAGTAGTCAAATGGGGACTCACGAATGCGTAGGTTCAGTAGTCCACTACACCGATCCGAATGCAGTAACTGGCTGTGAGAGGAAAATATTCACTCGTCGAGATTTCCTGCAGATGGCTCCGTGTGAGTGATATATTCCACGGTAGGAAAATTATTCACGGCTAAAAAAATGTCACAGGGATTTATTGTGACGTTTAACAGTTGACACAAACACAGAGATTTAGTCCCACTGGTTCAACAGTCAACAAACAGTTCAACGGGCGTAAATACAGTCGTTCAGCAAGAAGTCAGCAGGTCGCGCCGGAAAATTGTGTATTCGTAACATTAAAACAAACGTCATGATACAATGTGAACGACAGTTACAAAGTGTGGTTCAAGTTCAGGAAGAATGGTAAATGTGACAACGGATTACAGACACTACAGTACTCCCCCCCTAGAGCGTCAGGAATAATAAAAGGGAATGACGCTCGATAATGTGACAAAACTCAAGGGGTGTAGTCTGCGAAGCGAACAGGAGTCTTGCAGGTTCGACCAACACGTGTTTGCTTCAGGATAGGTAACGGGTGATCGTCAATACGTCGTGCTATATGTTCGGGGTTCCCTGGGATGGCTGTACTGGAGGTTTGGGAACTTGTGGGTAGAGTGACTACAGTAGGGGGATCTGAGTGAGACTCGTCATCGATGAATGCAACTTTGAGTCTGTCGATACTGACGGAGTCCGGTTTTCCGTTCCTCTCAATCACAAAGTACTTGTCCTTGCGAGAAATGACTTTAAACGGACCATCATACGGATATTGCAACGGTCGTTTGACGCTGTCAACACGGACAAATACATGTGTACAAGAAGATAAACCGGGATCCAAATGTGTGCGTCGACCGGATTTCCGAGTGTCAGACGGGCGAAGAGTACGCATATGATCTTGCAGTCGACTGACGTATGTCGATGGTGAGAGGTCTTCATTGGGTGTGGATACACATACCATATCTCCGGGAAGACGTAGCGTTTGTCCATAGACAAGTTGGGCTGGAGTGCAACCAATATCCTCCTTCACGGTATTGCGAATGCCAAGTAATATCACTGGTATCGATTCGGTCCACAGCTGTGATGATGATTTAGCCATAATGGCGGCTTTCAGTTGTCGATGAAGACGTTCGACTAAGCCGTTGGCTGCAGGATTGTAAGCTGTAGTTTTGAAATGGTTGCATCCTAATAGCTGGTTCAGTTCACGAAACAAGGAACAGGTAAACTGACTCCCACGATCTGTAGTGATGCTCTCAGGGACACCAAAATAGGATACCCAAGAATCGACAAGGTATCTGGCAACGGTTTCGGACGAACAATCGCGCATGGGGGTCGCTTGAGGCCAGCGTGTGAAGCGATCGACTATTGTTAACACATAGGAACATTCGTTGGATGGTGGAAGTGGTCCAACGATGTCTACATGTATATGTTGGAAACGGCGTGTAGGCAAGTTGAAACTTCCGGGTGGCGTAACCGTGTGTTTATGGACTTTACTCAGTTGACAGGTTTTGCACTGTTTTGCCCATTGTCGGATCTCTTTCTGCATACCAGGCCACAAGAAACGTTCACAAATTAATCGAGCGGTGGAACGGATACTCGGGTGTGAAATGGAGTGGAAATGCATGAAGACTGACCGACGATATTTCTGAGGCACAAATGGACGAGGTTTACCAGTGGACATGTCACACAGAACTTTAGAATCACAGTTTAAGAGCGGCATATTAACGAACTTCAGGGAAGGATGTGATCTAAGCTCTTGTAATTCTTCGTCCTGCTTTTGGCTCTCAGCTATTAATTGCAGATCGAACGGAGCGTGTACCAAGTGGTTTATATGGGCACGGGATAAGGCATCTGCAACTAAATTGCTGCGACCACTAATATGCCGGATGTCACTAGTGAATTGGCTGATATAATCCAACTGCCTAGTTTCCCTCGGTGAATAACGATCAGATGTCGCGTTGAGTGCAAAAGTGAGCGGCTTATGATCTGTGAGAATCACGAAGTGTCGGCTTTCCAAAATATGTCGGAAGTGCCGAACAGCTAAGTAGATTGCGAGAAGTTCACGGCCAAAAGTGCTATATCGAGTCTGTGCAGGTTGTAAGCGATGCGAGAAGAATGATAAAGGCTGTATTTCACCGTTGACCTCCTGTTGTAGAACCGCGCCAACTGCAGTTTGTGAGGCATCAGTAACCAGGAAAAGAGGTGTAGACGGATCAGGATTTATATGTGCCAAATTGGTTGTCTGATTTAACACTTCCTTAACCGTTTCAAATGACGCAATGGCCTCCGCTGTAAGGGTGAAATTGCGCGTTTTCAGTCTGAGTAGGTCGGTGAGCGGTTGGACAACCTCGGCACAGTTAGGGATAAAGCGACGGTAGTAATTGATAAGGCCAAGGAAACGTCTCAACTTCTTAATGCTGTTGGGAGCTGGAAAGTCGCAAATGGCGGAAACTTTAGATGGCAGAGTACGGATGCCGTCTGAGTCAACAATATGTCCTAGAATTTCTAGTGACGAAACACCAAATTGGCATTTACTACTATTGATGACTATACCATATTGCTGAAATCTTTCAAAAACTTGCTTTAAGTGAAGCACATGCTCGTCTTCTGACCGACTGGCGATAAGTACATCGTCGATATAAGCGTAGACAAAGTCTAATCCCCGTAAAACTTGATCCATGAATCGTTGAAATGTTTGAGCTGCATTTCTGAGCCCAAATGGCATACGAACGAATTCATATAGACCGAATGGAGTGGTGATAGCCGTTTTGGAAATATCGTCTGGAGCGACAGGTATCTGGTGATATGCTCTGACGAGGTCTAATTTACTGAAGACAGATTTGCCGTGAAGAGTAAGGGCAAAATCATGCAGATGCGGAATTGGGTATTTGTCCGGGATGGTGACACGATTTAGTGCACGATAATCGCCACATGGTCTCCAATCTCCCTCGGACTTTTTGGGGACCATATGCAGTGGAGATGACCAGGGGCTGCTTGATGGTCGTATGATACCCAGTTGAAGCAAATGCTGAAATTCTGTCTTGGCTATGGCAAGCTTCTCCGGAGCTAACCTCCGTGGACGGGATGCGGTGGGTGGGCCTTTTGTCGAGATATGGTGGAAAACGTCATGTTTTACGGAAGTGGTCTTGGAAGCAGGTTTCAGGATCTCTGGGAATTGGCGAAGCAGTGCTGTGTAACGGTTATCCGGCAAAGCTGGGCGGATTCCAATAGAATTAATGGATGAAGCTTTGCCATTTATGGAGAGAGTTGTCGAATTGTCAAGCAACTGCCGTCTGTGGAGATCAACCGTGAGACCAAATGACGTGAGAAAGTCCATACCAATAATGGGTTTTTTAACGTCGGCCACTGTGAAAACCCAAGGGAACTGACGACGAAGACCTAGATCGAGAGTAAGAAGCTTTTCACCATAGGTCTTAATGCTCGTACCGTTGGCTGCCTGCAGAGTATATGCCACCGGCCGTAGGTTATGCTTGCGTGTAGGAGGAATTACACTAACCTCAGCACCGGTATCAATGAGGAAACTCAAGGACGTGGAGCGGTCATATACGAAGAACAGGCGACAGGTAGAGGAGCCGGTTGCAGTGGTCGCCATTACTGGCCGGCCATGGCGTTTCCCGAATTCGAAGGCTTTGTGGGGAAAGTGCAAGGTCTGGTGCATCGGATAGCGCGGTCACCGAAGCGACGGTGGTAGTAGCACCAGCCAGGTTGGTCACTGTGCTTGGGAGCACGACTGTGGGATCGAGACCTAGAACGTCTATGTTGTTGGGGGCGACCAATGAGTTTCGTGACTTCATTCAGTTGGAGGGATAACTCAGTAAATTGAGCTTTCATTGCACTGAACTCGACCTCCAGGTTAGATTGCGAAGTGGATTGTTGCTGAACGTTAGAGACCACGAACTGTCTACAGGTTTCATGGACGCGGTCAGCCACCTCAGCTAACTTCGCTAAGGAAGAATCCTGCTCGATGACGGAAATGACTTTACGGACTTCGATGGGCAGGCTTTGTTGCCAAAGTTCTTTCAAAACCGCATCGTTGACCGGATGCTTACCTTGCAGGTGCATCATGTGGCGGAGATGTTGTGACGGTGTTTTATCGCCGACGTCAACACCGGAGAGAAGCTTCCGTAGATTCTGCTCATCGCTGGAAGCGGTACGAGAAATGATAGCTGCTTTGAGAGCATCGTACGGATCGGTGGACGGTCGGGTGTATATTAAATCAGAGACTTCTCGGGCAACGAAGTCTGGTAAGCATCCTACCACATAATTGTATCTGCTACTCTGCGAGGTAATGCGACGGGATTCGAAAATGGCCTCAAGTTGGGCGAACCATAGCCTCGGATCACGTGCACCGAATTCAGGTAACTTAATGTAAACCACGTTGTCTATTTCGGGTGTCTGTGTCTGTTCAGAAGCCATGCTGACGTGGAAAATAAATACAATAAAGCACGGGAGTACTGCAGAGAAGAAAAAAAACTAAGGAATGATTCGGGCTCACCAATTATGTAGCGGACTAGGACCTAACCAGCGTGTTCGGATAACTTAACAAGCAAAAGTAACCAATGCAAAATCACAAAAATCACAATAGGAAAGGAATGAGTAGTCAAATGGGGACTCACGAATGCGTAGGTTCAGTAGTCCACTACACCGATCCGAATGCAGTAACTGGCTGTGAGAGGAAAATATTCACTCGTCGAGATTTCCTGCAGATGGTGTGATGTGAGTGATATATTCCACGGTAGGAAAATTATTCACGGCTAAAAAAATGTCACAGGGATTTATTGTGACGTTTAACAGTCAAACACAGAGTGTGACAACGGATTACAGACACTACAAGCCGTACGGCGGGTGCAACGTTGCACCCGCCCATCAATTACTGAATCACTGAGTTGATAGTCTGAATTGGAAGCCTTCATCTTGCCGGATTTCGAGTTCGCTTTTTCAGTCGAAGGTTTGTGTCCATGTAATAAATAGCTAAGCATTGGAAATATGCAGATTTATATTGGCCGTTGGAAGTTCTTCATTCTATCTTCAGTGGTAATCAGGTTGTTAGGATAGGACCTGAGAATTCGTAACATGCTGAGAGACCAGCCAACACGAACAGAGAAGCCTAACACACCAGATCTCGGGGTGAGTTATTGTGCAGGCACGAAGTGGCGAGAGCAATAATCGAAATACCCTGTAGACTAGCATGTGGCACCTAATAACGAAAGAAAACAAGATGCTTCAGTATGAACAATATCGCATAAAGACCGATACCAAACACGGACTTTAGGCAAGTCAATGACCTGGGAAAGTAAGCTAACGGGAAGCGAACAATATAAATTTATTTGTAAAGATAAAACCGATTCTTGCTGACTAACCACTAAGTGTTCTACTGCCGATTCCTCCTTGTTGGTCTCTAGCCTAGTAGTTGAACACGTAGCCGCCAGACTGCAAGCGACTGATCAGGAGTGACTAGTTCGCTCTTAGACCGATATGGTGCCACTCACCATTCAGTCAGTAATTCACGTCACTTGGACACGTGCAGACTGGTTCTTCGGATGTGGCTCAAGACAGGTTGTCATAGCATCGTAAATCGGGTCCAAACGCACCCTTCTTTATTCAAGGGCGTATCGATCTAAGAATGTATGTCTTCCGGTTCAGCCTTGACTGCGTAGTAGTGGGTAGGCATCATCCTGGTGGCTAGCCTTCTTATACAGTTGCTTGGCTTGACGTGTTTCTACTGCGTCTCAATGAAGACCGAAATAAAATTCCATGCAGTATCACCAGTCAAGTAAATCAAGCTACGACTTCGAGTCAGGATTGTATATCCACCTATCCAAACCCAGTAATATTGTACCACCACCTAAAATGACACCGAAAGTCCACCAGAAATGTATCTTGGCTGTTGAAGACGCCAACGTAAGCAATCTGATATTCCTTCTGCTTTAATGTGAGGTGAGGTTGGCCATCCGCCGGATATAACTAGGCGGACGTTGGAACTAAACGGAATGTGCCGGAAAAGGAGCCGTTCACCGCAACTTCGATCATTGGCTTACACCAGACGTAGTAGACTAACTAAACAAACTGTCACAACAGACTACGGATTAACTTGAAATTTATCTTATAGGATGCCATTTTAACCATAGTGGTGAATAAGCTCCGTTAATTTCCTAGGAGGAGTATCCTTTTTTTTAGAAAATCAGCCGTCCACGCTAGCAGAATCGGGCTACTTAGAAAACTGGAACAAGTTTGCTCCACGACCCGCTTCGACATGATATTCAAACCTCACCAACTAAGTTACATCTAGCCTTGCGTGAATGTGGAGTAAGACTGGTCTATTTCTGAGTTATCGGTTATCATCAGTGTGAATCTGTACCTAAACCTGTAGCACTTGTAACTTGCGTTTTTCCTGCTCAGTATCATCTTCCCTTTCCCTATCAATGTCAGTCACATCATTGTACAAGTTTGTTTTACTGATATACAACCGCAACCGTCTGCTTCTTGGGTCTAACGTGACTTTGAGACTTTTTCTGAGTGACTGTTGTCGTGACTGCCGATTGGTTGTAATTGGCTGCTACTAATTCTAAACGTGAACAAACATTTTAGATATAAGCGTTTGACTAATCTATTAAATATTTTTTTTACTGTTTTCTATTTTCCTTGGTAACTCAGAACTCCCATATCTCTTACGCATATACTTAGTCTAGTGACATTTTTCAACCATGTCTAAGAAGACGAACTCAACACTGAGTTGGTTGAAAGCACCGTAAAACTGCCAACCTTTGGAGTCAATAAGGGCGTAAATACAGTCGTTCAGCAAGAAGTCAGCAGGTCGCGCCGGAAAATTGTGTATTCGTAACATTAAAACAAACGTCATGATACAATGTGAACGACAGTTACAAAGTGTGCTTCACGTTCAGGAAGAATGGTAAATGTGACAACGGATTACAGACACTACAAGCCGTACGGCGGGTGCAACGTTGCACCCGCCCATCAATTACTGAATCACTGAGTTGATAGTCTGAATTGGAAGCCTTCATCTTGCCGGATTTCGAGTTCGCTTTTTCAGTCGAAGGTTTGTGTCCATGTAATAAATAGCTAAGCATTGGAAATATGCAGATTTATATTGGCCGTTGGAAGTTCTTCATTCTATCTTCAGTGGTAATCAGGTTGTTAGGATAGGACCTGAGAATTCGTAACATGCTGAGAGACCAGCCAACACGAACAGAGAAGCCTAACACACCAGATCTCGGGGTGAGTTATTGTGCAGGCACGAAGTGGCGAGAGCAATAATCGAAATACCCTGTAGACTAGCATGTGGCACCTAATAACGAAAGAAAACAAGATGCTTCAGTATGAACAATATCGCATAAAGACCGATACCAAACACGGACTTTAGGCAAGTCAATGACCTGGGAAAGTAAGCTAACGGGAAGCGAACAATATAAATTTATTTGTAAAGATAAAACCGATTCTTGCTGAATAAATACTAAGTGTTCTACTGCCGATTCCTCCTTGTTGGTCTCTAGCCTAGTAGTTGAACACGTAGCCGCCAGACTGCAAGCGACTGATCAGGAGTGACTAGTTCGCTCTTAGACCGATATGGTGCCACTCACCATTCAGTCAGTAATTCACGTCACTTGGACACGTGCAGACTGGTTCTTCGGATGTGGCTCAAGACAGGTTGTCATAGCATCGTAAATCGGGTCCAAACGCACCCTTCTTTATTCAAGGGCGTATCGATCTAAGAATGTATGTCTTCCGGTTCAGCCTTGACTGCGTAGTAGTGAGTAGGCATCATCCTGGTGGCTAGCCTTCTTATACAGTTGCTTGGCTTGACGTGTTTCTACTGCGTCTCAATGAAGACCGAAATAAAATTCCATGCAGTATCACCAGTCAAGTAAATCAAGCTACGACTTCGAGTCAGGATTGTATATCCACCTATCCAAACCCAGTAATATTGTACCACCACCTAAAATGACACCGAAAGTCCACCAGAAATGTATCTTGGCTGTTGAAGACGCCAACGTAAGCAATCTGATATTCCTTCTGCTTTAATGTGAGGTGAGGTTGGCCATCCGCCGGATATAACTAGGCGGACGTTGGAACTAAACGGAATGTGCCGGAAAAGGAGCCGTTCACCGCAACTTCGATCATTGGCTTACACCAGACGTAGTAGACTAACTAAACAAACTGTCACAACAGACTACGGATTAACTTGAAATTTATCTTATAGGATGCCATTTTAACCATAGTGGTGAATAAGCTCCGTTAATTTCCTAGGAGGAGTATCCTTTTTTTTAGAAAATCAGCCGTCCACGCTAGCAGAATCGGGCTACTTAGAAAACTGGAACAAGTTTGCTCCACGACCCGCTTCGACATGATATTCAAACCTCACCAACTAAGTTACATCTAGCCTTGCGTGAATGTGGAGTAAGACTGGTCTATTTCTGAGTTATCGGTTATCATCAGTGTGAATCTGTACCTAAACCTGTAGCACTTGTAACTTGCGTTTTTCCTGCTCAGTATCATCTTCCCTTTCCCTATCAATGTCAGTCACATCATTGTACAAGTTTGTTTTACTGATATACAACCGCAACCGTCTGCTTCTTGGGTCTAACGTGACTTTGAGACTTTTTCTGAGTGACTGTTGTCGTGACTGCCGATTGGTTGTAATTGGCTGCTACTAATTCTAAACGTGAACAAACATTTTAGATATAAGCGTTTGACTAATCTATTAAATATTTTTTTTACTGTTTTCTATTTTCCTTGGTAACTCAGAACTCCCATATCTCTTACGCATATACTTAGTCTAGTACCATTTTTCAACCATGTCTAAGAAGACGAACTCAACACTGAGTTGGTTGAAAGCACCGTAAAACTGCCAACCTTTGGAGTCAATAACCCCAGAGTATGGTCTATTCACCTGGAATATTACTTCCATTTCCACCGAATTACCTCACAGCAGACCATATTTTCTTACGTGGTTTCTCAGCTGCCGACTCAGGTTGCCGCAGAGGTTATTGACCTGATTGATCCCATGCCAACATCAAATCCCTACAACACACTGAATGCAGCAATTGTTAAACGGACATCCACCTCGGATGAAGCGAATCTGCGAAAATTGCTTCCAGGGGTCGGACTGGGCGATTGCACACCGATCGCACATGCAAAGCCTTTCCTGTGGCAGGTCGTTTGGCGACAAAATTTTAAAGCAGTTGTGGTTACAGTGTCTTCCCTTAAGAACTCGCCGAATTTTGGCTACCCAATCCGATATCCCGCTGTCGTCACTCGCTGAGACGACGGATAGAATTCACGAATGCCTCGCTGACCGTTTGATAGCCTCAACCTCACAACACATTCAGCGTAACGATAACCCTGTTATAACACGGTTCGATAGAATGCAGACGCAAATCGATCAACTGGCGGCCACTGTCAACAGGGTAGTCACCACAGTAGATCGGACTAACACGTCACGCAAGTCCCGATCGGTTTCACGTCAACCGACCTCTCGGAATCTAATTCGATTCTGCTGTTAACACGGAAAATTCACAGACAAGACTACGTCGCACACATCCATGCGTCTACGTCTCCCCTGACCAGGGAAACTCACTGGTCAGTCAGTGGTGGTGACAGCTGCCACCGGCCGGTCACCTAGTCGCCTCTATTACGTAATGAATAGAACCCCCGGAATGCGGTTCTTCGTCGGTGCATAACTCAGCGTTATTCCTGCCGGAAACTCGAAACGCTACACTTCTAACCCGCTAACGACATTACAGGTGGCTAACGGCACGCGTATAGCTACCTTTGGTCATAAGTCACTGACGCTTGACCTGGGTCTTCGCCGCTCATTCCCCTGGATCTTCACTGTCGTTGACGTGCACGTCCCAATCATTGGTGCAGATTTCCTGACAAACTCCTCACTGACCGTCGATTTCAAGTGGCAAAATCTTCTAGATTCCTTAACGTCGCTTTCTGTTCCATCAGTCCAGGTCGACGCTTCGACATCCCCACTCAGTATTCGCGTCGCCCGTATTTCAAACATTCCGGTTTTCAACGATTTAGTCGAAAAGTTTCCAAGTTTGCTTAAGCCGTCCTATTCGGTCTCGAGTGCGCCACATGCAGTCGAGCACCACATAACAACCTGGTGCTTCAGTTCACTATCGCCCTCGACGACTACACCCTGAGAAGCTGCGTATCGCCAAAGCGGAGTTTGACCACATGCTGCAACTCGAAATCATTTGGCCTTCAAATTCATGTTGGGCTTCTCCTCTACGTTTGGTCCCCAAGAAATCCACTGGTGACTGGTGACCGTGCGGTGATTGCCAAGCACTCAGTTGTCGTACAGTACCTGACCGCTACCCAATACCGCATATCCACGACTTTTCACTGTAATTACAGGGCAGAACTGGTCTCCTCAAAATCGACTGTGCCCGAGCGTATTACCATATACCGATTGCCCCCGACGACATTCCCAAAACAGTGATTACTACACCCTTTGGTTTAGCTGAATTCACACGCATGCCCTTTGGTCTTCGGAATGCCGCTCAAACATTCCAACGCCTCATAGATCAGGGGAATTAGGACAGTGGCTGACTTTAGTCAAACTAGGGTACAAGGATTGCAAAAAGTATTTTGGGTTTGCAGACGAGTATAACGTAAAGTGCTCTTAAATGCGGTACCAATGTTTATATATTCTATTTGCAACCTTGATTTTCGAGAATAGAAAGTAAACAAAGCTAAACTAGTTTCAGACGGGTTTGGTAAACAATCGGTGGATTTATTGCTGGGCAACGTTTCGCTTTTGACGCAAAAGATTCGTCAGGCCAAGTGAGTAAGTAAGTAGGTTGACTGGGTTTTAAGGCAGTCAGGGAACCAATCCGTGAGATTCCTTATGACCAGTGACGTGATCAGTGCTGGGTGTTCAGTCTGATGTCCCTGTTTGTTGATTAGTGCGATGACTAAGCTTTACGATAGATCGGTTAGGGGGGGTTGGTCTTTATCATGAACCCGGATTTTTTCGTCCCTGCTTCTTCAGTCTAGGACACCTTAATGGAAAATTCCTCTTGGGGTCGTTCACAGATTTCGTTCACCTGTGTTCGTCCAAGGGTGCTGGGACAACTAGTTTGGGGATGGGGTGGGTTGGTTAATTGGATCTAACGCTACTTGGATTTTGTCCTTTTAGACCCAGGCGATTTCGCGGTTAACTGCACACCGCCTCGTGTCATCTCGGCTGATCTAAGACCGCTCTCCACACGTTTGCAAGTTCTACCCCCTCTATTCTATTCACACTGGGATGCTTGGCGATTTCCACCG